AATGTTGCCCCTCCAGTCCCTTTTAATCTTCCCCCTCTCACCTTAAACTTAAGCCCCACCCTAGGGAAAAGCACCCTGACTATTCACCATGCCCCTCACGATTTTATCAACCTCTGCAATGGCAGCACGGTGGCTCAGTGGTTAGCACTGCCTCTTCACAGTACTTGGGAACCCGGGTTCAATTCCACCCTTGGGGCAACTGTCTGTGTGGCGTTTGCACATTCTCCCCGTGTCTGCATGGGTTTCCTCCGGGTGCTCCAGTTTCCTCTTACAGTCCAAAGATGCGCAGGTTAGGGTGGATTGATCATGCTAAATTGCCCAAAGAGATTTGTAGCTAAGATCAATTAGCCATGGGAAATGCAGGGTTACAGGGATAGGGTAGGGAGTCCAGGAAGGATGCTCTTTAGAGAGTTGGTGTGGACCTGTTGGGCTGAATGGCCTGTTTCAACAGCGTAGGGATTTTACGAATTCACCCCTCAGCCTCTGACGCTCCAGGGAAAATAGCCCCAGCCTATTCAGCCTCTCCCTATAGCTCAAACCCTCCAACCCTGGCAACATCCTGTAAATCTTTTCTGAACCTTTTCAAGTTTCACAACATCCTTCCCATAGCAGGGAGACCAGAATTGAATACAGTATTCCAAAAGTGGCCTCATCAATGTCCTGTACATCCGCAACATGACCCTCCCAACTCCTGTACTCAATGCACTGACCAATAAAGGCAAGTGTACCAAACGCCTTCTTCACCGCCCTGTCTACTTGTGACTAATTAAAGGTACAAGATGATAAAACAAGAAACAGAGTGTGACAACAGAAGGCCACTGTTGATCACTTGGACCAGGATTTCACATCTCAAGCCATCAGCTAAAGCCCAGCTGTAAGGAACATTCAAATTGGAGTTTGGTACTGAATCACTGCACATTGTGATGAAGCTTTTTGTCCTGTGTTCATCAAGAAGCAAAAGGGAAAACGACACTTGTACCGTATGAGAGGTGCGTGCCAATTGTTTGGCAAATGCCTCTGATTGGCCACAGCGTTGTTGTGAGAATGCACCAGTTAACAATGACTGACAGGTAACCGCCAAATTTTGTTTGAATCTTAAATCTGGTTGGTCTATTCCAATTGGTTGAGGCATTCTCCTAGAAAATGAGTAAGAGAATGGCTGTCACCATGGAGTTGCACACGCACATGCACGTCAATTATAAAAAGCAGATTTTAAAAGCACGTCCGCACACTGCGCCCGTTTTACCTCATCAAAATTGGCGACACTCGCTGGCCCTTTATCCACCGCCACGCCCCCCGCCTCGGCAGGACAACTCAAACAGAGTCGAGTGCCTAGTTTAACATTTAAACAAATCGCAGCAGTTATCTGTCAATCATCATCTCGATGGTGCATTCTCCACAGCAGCTCTCCTCTCATGCAGTCAAGTATCGTTTGCCTTTTGGCTCGGCATTCTCATGAATAAATATAAGACAGAAGCCTTCAATGCGATTGGAAACCGAATGGAAGACTAATGGAACAGCACAACCATAAGAACCGGGAAGACAATAGGCATTTTACACTGCCCGTGAGATCACTAAAGGCCAGACCAGAGGTCTTGAGGGGGATTCAATAACCTCCTCCTGTCTCTGTCAGCCAGGTTGTTTACTCATCCCGAGTTTCCAAGAAACAGGGAACTTTCCCACCACACCCCTCCCCAACCAGACCTAGGAAACCAGTGTGTCAATGTGACTCGCTGCCACTTCCCTCTGGAGCTTACCACTGGTGCAGCCTGTGATGGGAACTGGCGACAGCAATTGCAAAAGCTCAGCAATCTGGAGCAGAAAACGCTCCTCCCCCCACCACCCACCCAACAGGAGGCGCCCAGCCACTCCCAGGATGGTCTGCTCGTGTTTCCACCCCCCAACACCCCCGCCCCGTGACCCGTGCCAACCCTGAGCCGTGCCATCCCAAACCAGGTGCCAGACCTAACAAGGGCGCACCCAGGGCTGTCGGGAGGAGTCACGTCTGACTGGGCAGAGAGGAAAAATGGGAATAGGAGCAGGGCACTCATCGAGCCTTCTCAGTGAGATCAGGGCTGATCTGCAGCCTAAACTCCACAGGGCCTGCCTTTGGGCCCCATCCCTTCGCTTTGAAAACAAAAATCCACCTCACGTTTAAACTAACTGATCCCGCATTCGCTGCTGTTTGTAGGGGAAAGAGTTCCAACCCTCTCCCACCCTTTGTGCTTCGAACTGCTTCCTAACATTTCTCCCAAACGCCCTGGCCCTAATTCTCAGACTTTAACTCCTGGTTCTAGAAGTTCCAACCAATGGAAATAGTTAATCTTTATCCACCCTGTCTTTTCCTGTTATTATCTTGAAGACCACGATCAGATCACCTCTTAAGCTTCTCAATTCTGGAGAAAACAGGCCTCATTTGTATAATCTCGCCTCATAACATAACCTCTAAAAACTCACGTATCATTCTTGTAAACCTACATTGTCCTCCTTCCAAGTTCTTCCTAAGGAAGGCCAGATTTGCTCACAGTGCTCCAAGTATGGTCGAACCACGGTTTCATACAACTGCAGCATGACTTCTACGTCCTTATACCAAGAGGACTAGTGTACAAAGGCCATTGCCAATGTTTTCTCGATGCACTGGAGAAAAACATTCTATCCAGATGCATCACAGCATGGGACAGCAACTGTATCTGCCCAGGACTGTCAGAAACTGCAGAGAGTCGTGAACACAGCCCTAGTCCATCACGGAAAGCAGCCTTACGACCCCGTCTACACTCTCTACTACCTCGGGAAAGGCAGCCAACATCAAAGACCCCTCCCACCCCGGTTTCCTCTCTTCAAACCTCTTCCACTGGGCAGAGGATACCAAAGCTTAAACACACGCACTGACAGATTCAAGGGCAGCTTCTTCCCTGCTGTTACGAGGCTTCTGAATGGACCTCTCAGATTTTAAATCTGGTGTTGATCTCGCGCTTTCCCTGCAGCCGTGCTCCTCCCTCTGTTTTATCTCCCTAATGCACTTTGCATGGTATGAGCCACCTGCACTACTCGCAAAACAAAACTTTTCACTGTACCTAGGTACATGTGACAATAATAAAATCAGAAGCATCCACACTGATCTGGGAATCGAACGGAGAATTGACGCCGGGTGGGGTCAAAACAATGTCTTGCGGAAATTGAGCAGCAACGCGTTGGAACTGAATGCCACCATCATGGCACAATATCACAAACCCCCCCAGCCACTGCACTTTGAGCCTGCTGGAGAGAGTGCGGGCTAGCACTCAAAGGTGTGAGGACCTCTCCAAATGAGGACATGGCGCCAAGCAAGGGCCTGAAACCACAGGCCCGTTTTTTTTAGGGTGAGTGACCCGTGAAGCACACAGTGTCCCAGCTGAAGGATGAACGGGAGAACGTTACACAGCGAGGCAAGCAATAGTCCCCGTTTCAGTGGCTGCGCAGCTCTGTTGGCATTTACCCAGCATTCCTCACTGCACAGCTCTGTT